TGAATTCTCTGTTTAGCTCTTTAGCCCATTTTTTAATTGGACTGGAGAACCAGAAATTTAAGGACATCCTCAGCTACATAGCTTGTTTAAGTCAGCCTGGCATATGTGTGCCCTTGTATTTAGGGAAAGAAAAGACTCTAAGCTGCTCGCAATTTAGGGGTACTCGGAGCATTCACAGTTCCTGTTCTGCTACCACTACTATCTACTTCCAGAGCTTTCTTATCACCCCAAAAGGAAACCTTGATCTCATTGAACAAATTATTTCCACTTCTCCATGTTTTCCAGTTCTTAGCAACAATACTCTGTTTTGTGTCTCTAATTTGTCTTTTCTGTATATCTCATTTAAACAGAATCATTCAATCTGTGGCTTTCCATGATGGACTGTTTGGGTGATATCTTATTTTGTCTTCTAGGTTTTAGGAGTTTTGTTGTTGTACTGGGTTTTTGGTTTGTTTTTTGAGAAAGAAATTGAAGTTGTGTGGATAGGGAGGAAGAAAGGACCTGATGAACTTGGAGGTCAGAAAGAATATCATCAAAATATATTTAAATTTTAAAATTGTTTTAAATAATTTTTTTTAAAAAAAAATCAAGTCCTTTTTGGCCATTTGTATACTTTCTTATAATTGTCTTCAAGTCCTTTACCCATTAGACAAAATTTGGTTATCTTTGGATTGCTGAGTTTCAGGAAGGATCCCTCATGCATTCTGGATAGTGGGCTGTGGCTATGATTTGCAAATTCTCCCATTCCTAGGTTTTTCTTTTGACTTCATAGATGATATTCTGTGAGCACAAGTTTTGAACTGTAGCCTAATCCAATTAAAGTACACATTTTCTCATGTTGGAAGGCTACTTTAGCACACCCTTACAGCTTCTCTTTGGCACGTTCAAATGTGCTGGCTTGGGTATGCCTTCCAGGGTTAATATTTTGCAAACTAAATACCCAAAATCATTTGTTTAATACTATTTTGATGTGGTACCTTTGGGGCATGATTGACAGTCATCACTAAGATACTGAGATAGTGACTTTGTTATACACCCAAGATGCCTTGACAAGCTTACTGTCTAGTCATGTGGTACCCTCCATCGTGTTATAATGCAGATAATAGTCTTCACCAGGTGCTGGCACCACACTCCTGCACTTCCAAGCCTCCACAACGGCACTGCTCTCAGTCTTTGGTTTTCCTTTTTGACCCCTTCCTACACTTCCTCTTTTTCTCCTGGCCCTCTGCTTCTCCTTCTCCCCAGATTCTCCATCCTGTACTATAATTTAGCTCTGCCTACCCTTGCTAAACCCTTTCACAAGGTCGGTTTTCCCCTCCTGGGTCCCTGCTTCTCCTTCCCCTCAGCTTCTCCTTTCTGTTCTGTGATCTAGCTCTGTCACCCTTGCTACTCGTCATAAGGTCAGTTTTTCCCTCCTGGGTCCCTGCTTCTCCTTCCCCTCAGCTTCTCCTTTCTATACCCTTGCTAAACCTTTTCATGAAATCGGTTTTTCCCTCCTGATTCTCCTTTCCCTCCAGCTTCTCCTTTCTGTGTTGTGACATAGCTCTCCATTCACCCTTGCTATCCCTTTCATAAGGTTGGATTTCCCTCCTGGGTTCCCACACCGCCCTTCTTCTCCTTTTCCCCCAGCTTCTCCTTTCTGTTCTGTGATCTAGCTCTGTCACCCTTACTACTTGTCACAAGGTCGGTTTTCCCCTCCTGGGTCCCTGCTTCTCCTTTTTCCCCAGCTTCTCCTTTCTGTACTGTACTGTAATGTAACTGTCACCCTTACTACTTGTCACAAGGTCGGTTTTCCCCTCCTGGGTCCCTGCTTCTCCTTTTTCCTCAGCTTCTCCTTTCTGTTCTGTGATCTAACTCTGTCACCCTTGCTACTTGTCACAAGGTTGGTTTTCCCCTCCTGGTTCCCTGCTTCTCCTTTTTCCTCAGCTTCTCCTTTCTGTACTGTAATGTAGTTCTGCCTCTACCCTTGCTAAACCCTTTCACAAGATGGGTTTTTCCCTCCTGGGT